AGGCACGCCAAAATCCAGATTACCAACCAAGATGGGATCCACCAAAACGTTCACCCCATCCACGCTCCATAACCAGCTGTTTCCCTGGTAAAAAGGAATACGTTCAGCTCGTCTGACAAAATTTAAAGAAAACTGAGAAGCGAACCTCTAGATAGGTAAGCTTAAAGCCGTCATCCTTGGTTCCAGGACTCGCACTGGAGATGGAGGAAGAAGATGAAGCCTTGAGGCTTTGGGTTTTTTTAGAGTGGACTGCGAGTCGGCGATGGCGGAGAGGAACAAAGAGAGAAAAGGGTGGATAACTCCGAAAGGAATTGGCAGGAGATCTTGCGTTCCCGATGCTTGTTAAGCAAGGGGAGCATAGGGCCGCCAGAGCCATTAAGAACTGAGAGCGGACAGGGAGAAGGTAAGCCCACCATAAGCGGGACGAGCTCAGCTTGAAGTATCGAGGAACCACGCGGGACGATGATCGCTACAGTGGCGTATGGGATATCGTTAGCCACCCATCTGATTTTGGATTTGGGATTACATGCTAACTTGCTAAGCCGGTTTCTTAGCTTCTAGACTAAGAAAATAAGAAAAAAATTAGAAGGAAATAATTTGATTAATTTTAATAGAAATATATCTAAATTTATTAAATTTATTTTTAAATAAATATAATATTTATTATATTATATTATATTATATTCATCTCAAAATAAATTGGATAATTTGAAAATTCAATTGACTAAAAATTTAATTAAAGCATTTGAAGCTATATTTAAAAAAAAACATTAATATGCTTGATTTGTAATTGCAATTGGATTCCTCTTGCTCTCATTGACTTGTTAAGAAGGTGATCAATCATAAAAAGTTGGTTTAGTTGTCTATCCCTTCATTATGTGCATATACATGATATCAATCATTTTCATGTCAATAATATGAATCTTTTTGTTTGTCTTCATGCTTTTGTTTGACTTCATGCTTGATTTTTTGTTTATGACTTGCAACTTCTCTATCGCACATCCAATAATTGAAATCCTTGGATGTAATATTGTTGTTGTATCTTCAAGAACCATCTTAGTGATAACATAAGGTTTTGATGGTAGAGGCTTAACCAATATTAAAGGAGTGCATACTTCTAAAAGGGGGTTAGCTTTATATTAATTATGACTTAACATTATTATAATAGTTACAATACAAAACTTTCCTAATTTGTTATTTTGTTTAGTTTTGGAGAAGATTCAATTGGTGTTATAATGGATGAAATTCAATAATGATTTTTGCTGAGGGATTCTTAGTAAATTTTGTTGGGGATGGGTAGGACTTAATTTAGGATCCTAAAAAAGAAGAGATGTACAGTTTAGTTAATGTAATTGTTAAAACTTCTGATTATATGTACTACATATATTGTTAAATTAATGATTTACAATATTATTCAATTTATCAATGATTTGTAACTTAATTTCTTGATATATATACGATTTGTTAATCAAGTAAATAAGAAAAAATTAAAAGAAAATGAGCCCCTATAAACTTTATTTTGTAGCATAGCT